GCCCGGAGCCGCCTCAGCCCCGGAGGAGCCGCAGCCCCGGCCTTGCCGAAGCCCCGGCCCTTGTGGGCTCCTCCGCGACCATGGAGAGCCCGTGGAACCCCTCCGCCGCCGCCTCGGTGCTGGCAGAGCTGCAATGGGAGCCCGGCTACGCCGTGCCCGTGGCCAACGCCGAGAACAAGGCGCTGGAGGACGAAGTGAGCGCGGGGCCGCGGCCGGCAGGGAGAGGAGCCCGTCCTTCCCCGGGGCCGGGAGGGATGGAGGGATAGAAGGAAACCTGCCGGGCTCCCGGGGAATCGGGAGGGCAATCCCCGCCTCCGAGCGTGGGACCCGCGCACCCGCATCCCCTGAGCCCCGCAGGAGGAGCAGTGCGAGCTGCCCGTTCCCTTAGCAAAGTTCCGGATTTTCGCCTGAAGTCCTTAATTTCATTGCTTTGGAGCAATATAGCAGCTATTACTTACGTTATTTTTTCATTAATAATTGTAATGACTATTTTTAGATATTTGCAGGTAATAAGCACTCAACCGCAAACAGTAATTTGACGATTCTAACTCTTAAACAGCTGCAGAAGATGCAGAAGGAAAAGGAGAACCTGCAGAATGAGCTGACCAACTTTGAGGAGCGCATAGAAGCGATGACGTCTCATTTGAAGAACGTGAGACAAGAGATCAGCTTCTCTGAGGTAAATCAACACCTCTAGCGGATCCATTTGGTCAGGCAGACCTGTAACCTGAGTATCTCTGGCTGCTATCCCATTCTATTTTGCCAGCTTTGTTAGAAATTTATTAGGCCTTTTTTCCAGGATTTCCACAGGAAACAAAAGTTAAACTATGTACCTCAGTGATATAATTTGGTGGTCATTAAGACCATCCAAATTCAATTTACTCTACCTAGGAAGAAGCCAGGAAGGGTGCATTTTAGAATTCTTCCTGAATGAGGACTTTTGTAGATATGGCTAAAAAAAAATTGGTCAAGGAAAACAACTGTGTAAGGGGAAAAAAATCATAATCTTTATAATGGTGAAGAGTTAGTTGTGAAACGTGAAATTCTGGTGAAGACTTAATTCACAGACATGAAAAATGAAGTGAGATGGTCAAGATCTCTGAAGTTTTACCTACATTCTGAATTAACTGACCAAAAGGGCTGGTTTAGATTTCTAATCTTGAGACAAAGAATTACACCTTCTAGATAAAATATCCTAGGAGAAAAAGTCTTATGAAACTTCCCTGCAGATGAACAGCTTCTTAATTTTTTTGGCCAGATTAAAGTGTTAATTTGAATTAAAAGAAAGAAAGGTTAGGCAATATCCAGATACTGCTATAGGCCAGAAGGGGAGGTCTGTCTCAGCACAAAACAATAAGGGCTACAAAAGGTTGATCTGTGGATACTTGACACAATGTTTACATATAAGAATATGTGTATTTGAGATACTAAAATCAAACCAATAAACTTTTTCTGAAAATTCCTTCATTTACATGGTGAAACCATCTCTGACTCGGGATTTGTTTGCATGTAAAAGAAAAGTTTGCTGATGTATACCTTTTGTTTATTGTAAAATACTGAACTTTATTATTCTGCAGTCTCTTTACAAAGCCAAAGAAAATGAAATTGAAACTGAACATCACTTTAAAGCCCTTGCTGAGAGAGAATATGGACGTCTCAAAAACGACATTAAACGACTGAAAGATGAGATAGCTTCCTTGAGACAGAAGAAAAACACTCAAGAAGTAAGGTTTGAAATTTTTGGAAGTGAACACCTATATTGCAAAATTTTATGTCTTGTCCTCACTTGCACATACACCCACAGTAGTATAAGTCAAGAACAGCTAATTATAATTAAAGCTTATAAACTGTAGTAGATGGGATGGGCTTTTCCTGTGTAGGCAAGTAGAGTGACACTGAGGATGTTACTGCATAGACTGATCAAGACTTAGCAAATATTAATTAGATATTGAAACAATTCTGTTCTTAATACCAGATTCATAGCCACACATTCATATCACTGTATTTCTAATTCTCAAAGGTATTTTCTTAATGGTTTAAAAATCAAATGGTTGGTGGCAAATCTTCTCTACATAAAATAAACTTGGGTCATGATTCCAAGATCAAAGATTTGGTTTAAGTTACAACGTAATCTAGTGCTACTCAGTTACAGGTGGTCTTCTGGGTTTGGAACTGTTTCTTTTTCTTTCTATTCATTATTTAATAATTATTTTTTTTTTAAATTTGCTCTTTGTCTTCTTAAATCTGTTTGTAATCTCCAGTCTCTCAGAAGGGTAGCAGGATGAAGATATTCACACAGTTCAGCTGGATCAATTCTCCCATTTTTGTGTCAGAAAGTCTTTTCACAGTCATATGAATAGGTCACATTTGAAAATTAATATGTAGGATTAGGGTCTAACAACTGGGCCTTAATGAGTGAGGGAGAAACCTCACCTTTGGATGCCTCAGATCAGTTTATTAAATGGAACAAATACCCTGCAGATGGGTATATATTGTCAGAGGCTGACTTTTCTGTTTAAAATTATCTGCATTTTAAATTTTTGGCAATCTGCTGTCTTGTTTCTTCTTTAAGACCAGGATGTCCAATAGCATTCCTCAAGTACAACGCACAATTAATAAAAAAGGAAACTATCAATTCTGTGGACAAGATGTGGGTAGACTTGTTACAGTAGTTTGGACTTGTTGCTTCAATTCCTATTCAATGAATATTAGACATTTGATATTGAAACTTTAATTTTCTCTTCTTTTATTAGAATACTATAAATAAAACCACTAAGAAGTTGGAAAACTTAAAACAACAGATGAACTGGGATGAGGAACTTCTGGAGAGCTGGCTAAAGGAATTAAATCGTACAGATAATGATGCTATTGCAATCCAGAAGTATGCACTGCAAGATGAAGGAAAACTAGGAGTAAGTAGAAATGACAGCAATTTTCAGGAACCAAAGGAAGAACCATTCCATCACTTGAAGACCTTGTTATGTTACCAAGTCAAATAAAATGAAGGCAAGATTTTGTTCAACACTGCTTTGAAACGGGTTTCCTTTTAGCACAACAGTGCAATTCCATATGAGGCTCATTTTGAAGCTGAGAGAACAGGTTTTACAATAATGAGAGACATAATTGAAGACATTAATTTCCTTATTCATCTGGGTAAGATTTAAATATTTTTGGGAGGGTGTGTAAATAGATAATAAAGTCTAGAAAGCAGTGCTACTGAATTAAGAGGAGTTTGTTCAAAACTTCACACCAAGCATGGATGAATAGTGTGGGATTTCCTTTTAGAACTGAATTTATTAATATTGTTGAGGACAAATTACAGTTACTTCAGTAAGACTACTGAAATACTAGAAGACATAAACATATATATCTGCATGAAGAAGAAGTCCAGTCAAAAGTTCAGGGTTTATAAGGGTGAATTCCCAAGTATATTACTAATGTAGAGATAAGTAACCCTGGTTATTATTCTTTATAGCCTTTAAATAGAGTGATTTTTACTCATTAAATACATAACCCAAAAACTTCGGTTTGCACAAACACTCTCACTGTTGTATGCCAAGGACACCACACACACATTTACACACATTTACACACATTTACACACATTTACACACATTTACACACATTTACACACATTTACACACATTACAGTGGAGGGTTACTTTGGCCTTGCTGCAGTTTGGTTCTTATGGCCACTTGTATTGACTGAATATTTGGAAGGCCACACTATCATTTTGTTTTCTAAAACACAATAAAATTGATGCCTCAATAATTTAACCTGATTGTAGCAGGGCTTTTAGAATTTATAAAATGTGATCTATTTATTTTCAAATACTTAATTTTCAATTATTTTCATATCCATTCATTTTAGACATTAACCCTTCAAATAGAAAAGCTGACCATGGAAGCAAACCAGAAGCGCAGAGCTCTGGATAATGAGCTTACAGAAACCATGACAGCTCAGGTTTGTGCTTAAGGTTC